TGCATTTACCTACTGGAGAACAAGTTACTATAACTAAGACAGGAGAGTCTCATCTATTCCAAGACAAGACAATTGGAGAAGTACTATATATACCTGAATTCAAATACAACCTATTGTCAGTGTCAAAGATCACCAGGAAGTTACAATGTTGTGCAACATTCTTTCCTGATTTCTGTTTATTTCAGGAACTCTCAAGTGGGAAGGTGATAGGGATTGGTAGAGAAGAGGATGGCCTCTACATTCTGAGAAATAGAGGTAACTCAAGTCCAAAGCAGGTCTTTGATAACAAGAATGCCACCAATCATTCATCTGTAAATACCATTTCCAGTTCAACTAGTGATAGTGAAGGTAGTTCCAAGAACAAGACTAAGACTGATGGTATATCTCCTTGGCATAGGAGACTAGGGCATGCTCTTTTATGAGTCCTAAAAAACATAGATGGCTTGGGTAACTCTCAGTTGAAGAATCACATGCTATGTATGTCCTATTGCTAAACAAGCAAGACTGCCTTTCTTCTAAGCACTACTTGTTCTGTTAATCATTTTGACCTTGTGCATGCTGATGTCTGGGGTCCTTATCGAGTTCTCACTGATGATGGTAAAATATATTTTTTGACTCTAGTAGATGATTTCTCTAGATACACATGGATATTCCTAATGCCTACTAAAGCAAATTCTATTGTGGTGTTAAGGAACTTCCTATTATATGTCAAAACTCAATTTGCCTGTGGTGTAAATGTCTTAGAACAGATAATGGTTTAGAATTCTTCAATGATCAGGCGAACAATTTACTAAAGGAGTATAGTATTGTACATCAAAGCTCTTGTGTGTATAAACCACAACAGAATGGTATTGTTGAAAGGAGACATAGATATATTCTAGGCATGGCAAGAGCATTAAGGTTTCATGCATTTGTACCTTTGAGATTTTGGGGAGATTGTGTGTCCACAGCTGTATGCTTACTCAATAGACTGCCCACTGTGTTGTTGAAAGGTCGGTCACCTTTGAGAAGTTGTTTCACAGAGTTCCCTCACTACAGCATCTCAAGGTGTTTGGTAGTCTTTGCTATACTACCACTGTGAAGAAAGGTGACAAGTTCAGTCCAAGAGCGATCCCAGCTGTTCATCTTGGATATTCAACTACTCAGAGGGTTACTATCTCTATGATCTAACCTCCAAGGAGTTCTTTGTAAGCAGAGACATTGTCTTTCAAGAAGACATTTTCCCAATCAAGAATATGAGCACTAGTCCTTCACCTATGTTCCTAGTACTGCAACTGGTTGAACCTGATCCACCTACTGTATCTGCACCATTGCATTCACCTTCCTACTCAACCCTTAACACTAATACCTCACAGCTTTCCCTATATTCTATTATCAGATATCTTTCTCCACATCCAGTACAACTCAGAAGATCTTCAAGGGAATCTAGACCACCAATCTTAATGGGAGATTATGTTGTCCAACAAAAATTTTATTGTCTATATCCACTATCCAACTATGTGGTGTATGATCACCTTACTCATGCCTACAGATCTTCATTAGCTGCTTATTCAGCAATTGTAGAACCCAGGACTTATGCAGAAGCCAGTACCAACCCACTGTGGGTGGCTGCTATGAAGTCTGAAATTTCAGCTCTTGAGAGCAATAATACATGGACAATTGTAGACCTTCCTCCAGACAAGGTTCCTATAGGATGCAAATGGGTGCTTAAGGTCAAATATAAATCCATAGGAGAGGTGGAAAGATATAAAGCAAGGCTTGTAGTCAAAGGCTACAGCCAGCAAGAAGGTTTGGATTATACTGAAACCTTCTCACTTGTAGCTAAGATGGTCACAGTGAGGTCTGCAGTAGCTCTTGTTGTTGCTTCACACTGGTTTGTTTTTCAAATGGATGTTCATAATGCATTTCTTCTGGGTAATCTATGTGAAGAAGTTTATATGCAAATTCATGATGGCTTTTCAAGCCAAGGGGAGTAATAGAAGGTGTGCAAGTTGAATAAGTCTTTGTATGGACTTAAACAAGCCCCTACACATTGGAACTTAAAACTGACAGAAGTTTTGACAGATCTAGAATTTGTACAATCACACTATGACTATTCTTTGTTCACACACAAGAAGGGAGCAGATTTGGTGATTGTGCTTGTCTATGTAGATGATCTATTAGTTACTGGAAATAACCTAAACCTGATTGAGAAGGCTAGAAAGGATCTGCAGAGCAGGTTTAAGATGAAAGACTTAGGGGAATTGAAGTAATTCCTTGGCATAGAGTTTTCAAGGTTAGAGAAAAGCATTCATATGTGCCAAAGAAAGTATGCCCTTGAGTTGTTATCTGAGACTGGTCTATCAGGAGGAAAACCAGTACTTACTCCACTGGAATTCAATCACAAACATACCTCTATAGAATTTGATAAGGTCTTCAACAAGGAGAGCTTGTCTGATGACAGACTACTTGAAGACAGAAGTGGTTATCAAAGAATAGTGGGAAGATTGCTGTATTTGACTATGACTAGACCTGACATAGCCTTTGTGGTACAGGATCTAAGTCAATTCATGCATGCTCCTAAGCAATCACATCTAGATGTTGCTATGAGAGTGATCAAGTATAATAAAGGAAATCCTGGCCTTAGGCTGTTCTTACCATCAGGTGGCACTCAAAAGTTGGTTTCCTTTTGTGACTTAGACTGGGGTGCATGTGTGGAAACAAGAAAGTTCACAGGTTATGCTGTGAAGTTTAGTGATGCTTTGATTTCCTGGAAATCAAAGAAGCAAGGAACAGTTTCAAAGAGCTCAGCTGAGGCAGAGTTCAGAAGGATGGCCACTACTGTTGCAGAGATAAAATGGTTAGTTGGGCTGTTTGAGGAGTTGGGAACAGCAGTTGAACTTCCAGTTCAGCTTATCTGTGACAGTAAAGCTGCAATTTAAATCGCAACTCATCCTATATTTCATGAGAGAACCAAACACATAGACATTGACTGCCACTTCGTAGCAGAAAAAATTCAAGAGGGAAGGATCAGGACTCAACATATTGGTACAAGAGAACAATTGGCAGACATCTTCACCAAGAGTCTTTGCAGTCCACAACATGATTACTTAGTATGCAAGCTGGGAATGAAAAGCATGTTTTCATCCTTAAGCTTGAGGGGGAGTGTGTTGATACCCAATTTTTTCCTAAGTATTTTTTATGTACTCAAAATATCCTAAAAATAGCATATACATGCATATATAAGCATTCCCAAGAGTTTTGTATTTTTCCTTATTTTAAATCAATTTATTGTCTATTTTAACAGTACAAAATCCAATAATTATTCCCAAAATTATTATTTTTTGTGAATAACTTATTTTATTCTCATATTTACACCAAATATAATTAAGGTAATTTTTTGTATATTTTTACAAATTTGTTTGGTATTTTTAAAGCTAATTGCATATAAAGGCAATTATAGCCTATTTTACGATTAATAGTGTTTTATAATTGTAAAATTAGTTCTAATATTTTTAAATTAATACATATGCATTTATGATCCATGGTTCATAGTTCATCAGACTTTGGTTCACGCCCCCGGTGGGTTGTCTTCGGTGTTCAGGTCGGAATCACGTACTCATATCTCTTATGCTATGATGCTGACTTACTTGTGTTTCTTAGCATTACATATTCAGTACATTATACGTACTGATGCCCCTTCTTTTGGGCGTTGTGTTCATGTCTACAGGTACAGATAGACCAGGTGATGCCCTTCCAAGTAGGTGCACGGTTCAGCTATTGGTTGTTGCTCTCGTCTCCTTCGAAGTAGCTGTTTAGAAGTTGATAGGTAAGGAGGAAGATGTTTAACATTTTGGGTACGGTGGGGCCCTATCCCGATCTAGTTATCTTCGTGTATGTTCTTTTAGTACTCTTATAGGCTTGAAGGTTAGAGTCTGGTTGTATAAAATGGTTACAGTTACAATTTGTTAAGAACAGTTGTAATATGTATGATATGCCAGTGTTGTCCTTGTAATTCGGATGTACTCATTTTAAACTTTGGTGATTACATTTGGAGGCTTCAATGGCTTGGAACTCATGAGTGAAAAGTCTAAAGAGCATGCATTGGTTTTCACGAGTCTTCGGGCGCGTGTGCCGGTCGCACCTCTCAAGGTTGGGGTGTGACAAGAAGGCTATGAGCCAGGACAAACTGATCCTGGAAAGATTAATATTTTGGATGGCATCAATCTTGAGATCGCGACTTGGACGACAAATGTTGAGCAAGAGACAATAGAAAATTATTTTTGACACTACAAAATTCGTTTAGGGGATGAAGCCTCAAGGAGTTTAAATGAACCCACTTGTGGAAACGACATTCAAGAACTTGAAGTCATGATTAATGATTTCGATTACCGCAATAAAATAGATGTTAATAGCCCGTTGGATTACTCCAGTAAAAATGATACATGTTCAGAGGTCCAGATCTTAGAAGTAACTGTGGATACCATCAGAGAAAAAATATTGATGATGAAGTTGAAGACGATACAATACCTTTGTGTAACGACCCGATCGGTCGTTTTGAGTATTTTAGCCCTGATCCTCTAATTATTGCCTCCTCTATGTTCTATTATGGTTATGTGATTTGCCAAGGGTGTTTGGTTTTGGTTTCGGACGAGTTTCGGAGTGAAATGGGACATATAGTCCCTAGGTTGGAGCTTTAAGTTGAAAGAGTTGACCGTAGTTTGACTTTTGTGTAGACGACTCTGGAATGGAGTTTTGATGGTTCCAATAGCTCCGTATGGTGATTTTAGACTTAGGAACATGTTCCATGCACTTTGCTCTAGAGGTTATAGCTATTATTTAAATGATTACTCTCTGTTTATCAAGAAATCATCTCAGTCTACTATATTTCTAGCTTTATATATTGATGATATTATTCTAACAGGGGATAGTATGCTTGCAACTGCCTCCTTGAAAAGTTTTCTTGTTGACCAATTTAGAATAAAGGATCTAGGGCTTCTCCATTTTTCTAGGGCAGTCAAATGTATTATCATTCTTCTTGTGTTTTGTTGCATCAACAAAAGTTTATTACTGATTTACTTGTTGATTTCGATTGTTCTGTTGTGTCTTCTGTTGTGTGGCCATTGTATTTAACTGTTAAGTTGCACCATGATATTGGTGATTCTCTGCCTAGATCTGATATATATCACAACCTTATACAGAAGCTTAACTTTCTCACCCATACTCGCCCTAATATTTGTTTTGCTGCCCAACAACTTACTCTGTTTCTTCACACACCTAAAGTCCCTCACATGACTGCAACTTTACATGTTTTACGATACTTAAAGGGCACTTATGATGTTTGTCTTTTTCTTAATGATTCTGCTGATTGTTCTTTGATTGGCTACTGCGATAGTGATTGGGCTGCCTGCCCTGATTCTCGCCACTCTGTTAGTGGTTTTTGTGTGTTCTTTGGGGGGGTGGTGGTGGTGGTGGTGGTGGTGGTGGTGGTGGTGGTAGTCTTATTAGTTGGAAGTCTAAGAAATAATAAGTGGTTTCTTTATGGAATTTTTACCTCATATAGCAAAGGTTGATACCTTATTTATTTTAAATAAATACTCTTTTAAAAAATTATATTCTATAGCTACCTTTTAATTTTTATAGCCAAATATCTATTTATGGTTACCTCCTACCCTTAAGCCATAAAATACTCTTTGTATTATTTTTCTCTCTCATTCTTTTAGATTTTTCTCCACCCTCTTTCTCTCTCAATGCCGGTCTTTCTCCATGGATACAACCACTATTCTCCACTGATTCATCTCCATTGTCTCGCAAAATTTTCATTGTCAGTGGGCTGGGACTCTGAATCAATGTCGAAATCAAGCCCTAGAGAGAAAGATCCACCCCATTCTGATGGCCGTTGCTTTGCAATGAAATCTGGACATGGCCAATGCAACTCTTGCCTCTCACCACCTCCATTGATGTTTTTCTTCATCTATCAAATTCGCAATTACTAACAAATAAGACAATCTGCTATTGAAAATAAGGAATTTCTTTAACTTTTGCGCCAAATTTTAAGAGTTTCGAGTCAGAATCGCGGCCCTCTTGACGAGATGACATTAGGGTTGTTCTTGAACAAAGATGACGGAGTTTGGGGCTGAGCAACTTGAAGAGTTTGTTACCTTTTTTTTTTCATTGTATTTCAATGTATCTCGCTATATTCTATGTATTTCATTGTATTCATTATCTTTTTTTTTATTGTATTTCAATGTATCCCGCTGTATTCCATGTATTTCATTGTATTCACTGTCTCGCTATATTCCATGAATGTATTCATATGTTTTTATTAATTAATATAATTTATGTATTCAGATGTATATATTTATTCAAATGTATCTGCAGTATGTATTCATATGTTTTTGCACTATAGATGACCTGCTATACTTCATGTATTCAAAGTATTTTTATATATTTAACTGTATTCAATGTAATTATATAATTTCTCTGAAGATTGCTATATTTTTGGGGTGTTTTTCGATTGAGAATCTTTTTTATAACTGAAAATATAAATTTTGCGTGTTATAATTGAGTTTGAGTTATATTGGGAGTCTATTATGTTAATTGATTCACTTTCCGTTTAAAAACAGCTGAACAGACCATGAATTGCGCTATTTACGTTACTGAATTCACAAATACATATCGTGAATATAGTCGAATACAATAATCTGTCTAGCTGTAATCCCCTGTTTCACGCCGTGAATGCAGTCGAATACAATAATCTATCTAGCTGTAATCCAATGTTTCACGCCGAGAAATGCTACTGTATTCATGAATACAGTAGCTTAAATACATCGAATACACTCTAAAAAACCTGAAAACATAGCTATAAGAAGTAATATAGTAAATGGTAGCTACAACTAGCTAATAACCACTTAACAATAGTGATTTGTGAAAATTTCTCTTTCTTTATCCTCCGTTGAGGCTAAATATAGGGTCATGCGTAAGGTCATTGCTGAGTTGTCTTGGCTGGTTTGTTTGTTGTATGACATTGGATTGTAGGCCTCTACTCCTCTTCTTATTTTCTGTGACTATCAGGTGCTATTCACATAGCCAAGAACCTCGTATTTCACGAGCGAACCAAGCATATAAAAGTTAATTGTCATTTTACCCGGACCAAGTTGGCTGATGATTTGATTCCTTTACATCATGTTCCTACTACTCTTGGCTGACATTCTTACAAAGTGCTTGACAGCTGGGGCTCATCATTTTTGGGTGTGTGCCCACCCTCCAACTCGAGGTGGGGTATTGGCGTTATATAGTGCATGGAAGAATCACCTATTACATTGGGCTTGAAGTGTATTTATTTGGATTGGGCTTAGCTCACATTCCTTTTACTCACATGTAATCCGTCGGGTCGGTCCATAGCTTAGGCTTAGATCTTTACGTTTTCCTCCTTGTATATAAATACACATTCTGGGATTTTCAGTAGGAAGCGAGCACATTTTTCAGATGAATAAAATCATTTTTCGTTCTCTCTCTATTCTCTTATTCCTGAAGCCCTAATCTACTCCCTTTCTTTGATTTCTGCTGCAAATCGATACTTCACACCCTATCAAAAGCAGCATCAGACAAGACACGACGACTGTTCTTATGCAATTACCCATCGATCCTGTTTGTACCATTGACTAGAAGAGAAAGGGAAAAAATTAAACTTTTCTTATCATAAAACTCTAACGCACGATCTTGAATGAAATGAAAATAGACATAGTAAGCATCACTATAGTCTCTCGATTATGAGTATGGTGCATAATATAACCATAAGGGAGAATCTACTAGATACAACTTTTTGACTTTTAGATACCTAAATCTAGGCTCTAATACTACTTGACACATAACTAATCCAACAACCAACTTATTATTTGTTGAATTTAGAGAGAGAAATTTTGTGGAAAGCAAAATGAATATTCTTCTCATTCAATTCTGTAACTGTTTACAATAATAGAGAATGAATATATATCTACAACTAACTAACTAACCTCCTTACTCATGTACATAATTACCCCTATTCTAGAAAGTACTAGAAGCTACTATTATTTATGTACATATGATAACAAAAGAAATAGTAAATTGATGTAGGTCCAGTAAGGAATAGTCTGATGAAGGCCCAATAGGCCCAATATCCACCTGTAACCCGTGTAGCCCAATATTGCCATTTAGTGAGAAGAAACCCTATCTTGTTTACCATTTCGTTGTTGTATCTCATCGGCAACACCCCCCCTCAAGTTGGAGGGGGCGGAAAGCACGCCCAACTTGCCCAGTAGACTACGATGGAGAGGCTCAGAAAGGGGCTTGGTAAATAGGTCAGCGAGTTGATGGTGAGAAGGAAGAAAGGAGAGAGAGATGAGACCCGCTTGGAACTGTTGCCGAACAAAATGACAATCAAGTTCCACATGTTTGGTACGCTCATGTAAAATGGGGTTTTTTGGTGATATGGATGGCGGCTTGACTGTCAGAGTGAAGAGTCACTGGTAACGAAGGAAGAACAGAAAGATCGTCAAGTAAACGAACAAGCCAGGTCAGTTCAGCAACGACTCGCCGCATGGACCGGTACTCGGCTTCAGCGGAAGACAAAGAGACGGAAGGTTGTTTCTTGGACTTCCAAGAAACAGGACAGCCCCCTAGACTGATGAAAAACCCACTGACAGAGCGACGACTATCAGGACAAGAACCCCAATCAGAGTCGCAAAAGGCGAGCAAATCAAGAGAAGGATCAGCACTCATGAAGAGATCCAAAACAGGGTCACGAAGAAGATAACAAAGACAGTGATTAGCAGCAGAGAAATGAGGTTCGCGAGGGTCTTGCATGAATTAGCTAAGATGCTGGACGGCAAAAGAAATATCAGGACGAGTGTGAGTTAAAAAATTAAGTTTTCCCAAAAGACGACGATAAAGCAGAGGATCAGCAAGAGGAGCCCCAACACCAGTACGTAGTTTAGAAGAAGGGTCCAAAGGAGAAGAGGCAGGGGACAAACCAAGGCAGTCTAATTCAATGAGAAGGTCAAGAGTGAACTTGCGTTGGCATAGGATCAGACCAGAGGACTCACGAAGCACTTCCATGCCCAAGAAATAAGATAAGTTCCCCAAGTCTTTAATTTTAAATTCATGATCTAGGAATTGTTTCAAATCATTCAGCTCCTGAATATTGTTGCTTGTTAGTAAAATGTCATCCACATAAACTGCCACCAGAGAAACAAAATCACCATTATTTTTGTAAAAAAGAGAGTAGTCGTTAAGGGAGTGAGTAAAACCCTTGAAATTAAGAGCAGCCGTCAAGCGAGCATACCACTTCCTAGAGGCTTGGCGAAGACCATAGAGAGCTTTCTTGAGTCGACAAACTAGGTTAGGAGTAGGAGGGTCTAAGCCTGCTGGAAATTTCATATAAACTTCTTCATGTAAATCCCCATGTAGAAAAGCGTTATTCACATCCAATTAATAAAGTCCCCAATTTTTCTTAACAGCAATAGCAAGAATGCACCTAATAGTGGTCATTTTGACCACAGGGGGGAAAGTATCTGTAAAATCAATCCCCTCTCGTTGAGTATCCCCTCGAATAACCAAACGAGCTTTGAGCCTTTCCACACTCCCATCAGATTTTAGTTTAACCTTGTAAACCCACTTACAAGGTAAAGCCTTTCTCCCAATAAGTAATGGAACTACCTCCCAAGTATCATTGGCCTTTAAAGCATCAAGTTCTTTTGCCATTGCTTCTTGCCAACCAGGGTCCAATGCTGCCTGAGAATAACTAGAAGGCTCATGGACAGTAGGTAGGGAATTTAGCAAGCTTTGGTTAGAAGCAGAAAGTAGATTGGATGAAATAGTAGAAGGGGAAACAGGTGAGAGAAAACAAGAATGAGAAACATTGGTTAGGTGCACGGCCCCACAGATATAGTCAGACAAATAACTAGGTGCATTGTGTTCACTTAAAGATCTGCGCAAGGCATCAGGAGGAACATTAGAAGTGGAAACAAGATTGATGGGAGGATGAGAAGGAGATGTAGATGTGGAGGTAGGTGAAACAGTGGAAGAAGTAGAAGGTATAGAAGAGGATGTAGAAGGTGAACCAGGAACAGGACTAGGATCAACTCGAGGAAGTGAAACTGGAGAGGAAACAAGAGCAGGAGAATCAGTAGTGGGGAGAGGAATAGAGGAATCAGAAAAAATGAGAGGCTGTGGTGTAGAAAAATCAACAGTAGAAGAAGTAGGAAAGTACTGAGAGAAGGTAGTGGTAGGATGTGTAAAAGGAAAAACAGATTCATGAAAAATCACATTTCTGGAGACAAAAATCTTATTGTTTTCTAAATTTAATAGCTTGTATCCTTTTTTACCAGTAGGATAATGTCACGACCCGGATTTTCCACCATCGGGAGTAGTGATGGCGCCTACTGTCGGAGCTAGGCAAGCAGAGTATTAAAACATTCTCTGATAACATTTCAACGATATAAATAAAACGAGTCATTTAAATAAAAGCGGAAGTCATAAAGACATAGATAACTGAAAACCAAATGCGGAAGTTTAAATACAACTCTACCCAGATCCGGTGTCACTAACTCACGAACTACTAAAGAGTGCTAAAAACAAGTTTGAATAGAAGTACATCAATGTTTGTCTCGGTACAAGGAAAACAAACTAATATCATAGAAGGGACTCCGGCATGCGGACGTCAGCTAGGCTACCTCGAAAGTCCCTGGACTGAAGTCGGCTCCCGATCAAATCCTACTGCTGAGGCCCAAAAGCTGCTCCTGGATATGTGCAAAAAGATGCACAGAGTGTAGCATCAGCACAGCCGACCCCATGTGCTGGTAAGTGCCTGGCCTAACCCCGGCGAAGTAGTGACGAGGCTAGACAGGACCTACCAAAAACAACCTGTGCAGATATATATGTATATACAAGTGCAACGAAATAACAGCAGAAAATATCAATTAAAGCGGGGAGGGGACATGCTTAGGGAAAATACAGATGAAGACAACTTATCAGAAGTAAACACGAAACTACATCAGACCTCATAATCTATATAAGTGGTCGGCGTGCCACACGATCCCATTTCATAATATATAAGTGGTCGGCGTGCCACACGATCCCATTTCATAATATATAAGTGGTCGGCGTGCCACACGATCCCATTTCATAATATATAAGTGGTCGGCGTGCCACACGATCCCATTTCATAATATATAAGTGGTTTCCCGGCAAGGGAGAATACGACTAAGCAGTTAAATCCCGGCAAGGGAGCAACAACAATAACTTACACGTCCCGGCAAGGGAATAATCACATCTCTTTCTTTTACGTTCATTTCTTACTTTTTAATCAAGTCAAAAATCGAGTCAACGCTCCAAAGAGTTTACACATCATATTTCCTTCTCATTCTCTTCATATCATATAGAAACCATCAATTAACAAGGAAGAGTCACTACAGAATCCCAATTAAGCACAAATAAAGACCCACGGTCATGCTAGACACCGGTGTATAGATACTCGTCACCATGCCTATACACCGTACTCAACATTTAGCAATTAGCAAATAATACTCTAATCCTATTCCCTCGAGCCAAAGTTAGATCAAACACTTACCTCGAATGCTCCAAACTCAACTCAAGCCTCTAGTATAGCTTTACCCCTCGAATTCGGCTCCAACACAGTCAAATCTATGAAATAACGACTTTATAATATCAATAATAGCTAAACAAATCAAACCCAATGCCTAAATATAGATTTCCAACCTTTCTTCCAAAAATTCCAAAATCGACCCCAGGCCCGCTTGGTCAAAACACGAGGTTCGAACCAATTCCATGTTACCCATTCCCCCACGAGCCCGGATATACAATTTGTTTTCAAATTCGACCCCAAAACGAGGTCTAAATCGAAGAAAATCGAAAAACCCTAACTCTACCCTTTTCCCCCAATTTCCACCCTAATCTATGTGATTTAAGCTTGGAAACCTACTAATTAATGAAGAATAATAAAGGAATAAGTAGGAAATTATTTACCCAAGTGGTCTTGAAGAATGGGGGCTTCAATGGCTTCCTAAAGCTTGGGAGAGAAGAGAGCTCGTGAGAAATATGGACTAAATCCCGTAGCTACTGTTTTGAAACTTAAAAAAAATCACTGGGTGTTTTTGTGCTACGCGTTCGCGACAGGAGCGTCGCGTTCGCGAATAAGGGCGAGCTGGCAAGCTACGCGTTCACGAGGGAAGGACTGCGAACGCGAAGAGGAAGTACTGGGGGGTCCAAAGAATTGGCCTACACGAACGCGTCGACCATCACGCGAACGCGGAGAAGGAAAAAGGCAAACCATCGCGATCGCGATGGCCTGAACGCGAACGCGAAGAAGGGGGCCTCAAAGCTATGCGAACGCGAAGGGGGTATTGCGAACGCGAAGAAGGATTCTTCTGTGTAAAAATTGCAGAAAAATCTGATGCCTTCCTAAGTTCAAAACCATCCCGAACACCTCCAAAAGCACTCCCGAGCCCTCGGGGCTCCTAACCAATCAAATACACTAACTCAACAACATCCTACGAACTCAACCGTGCGATCAAATAGCCAAAATATCATCAAAATCAATGAATTAAACCTCAAAATCATCACTTTTTCATCAAACTTCATAAACTTCCATTTTTAGATATTTAGGTCCGAAACACGTCAAATGACGTCCGATTTCAACCAAATTTCACAGAAAGTGCTTAAACCATATATAAGACTTACCGGGCGTCGGAACCAAAATACGAGCCCGATACCACAGTCTTTTAATCAATTTTCATTTCAAATTTCCATATAAATTTCAGAAAAGAATAATTTCTTTTAAAAAATTTGTTTCTCGGGCTCGGGACCTCGGATTTCGATTTCGGGCATATGCCGGAGTCCCATATTTTTCTACGGACCCTCCGGCACCGTCAAATCACGGGTCCTGGTCCGTTTACCCAAATGTTGACCAAAGTCAACTTTAATCATATTAATATCAAAATTCATGAATTTTTACACAGAATTCATATTTAAGCTTTCCGGCTACGCGCCCGGACTGCGCACGCAAATCGAGGCAAGTAAAAATGAGGTTTTCAAGGCCTCGGAAGCACAGAATGAAAGAGAAAACAGGTGATGACCCTTTGGATCGTCACATTCTCCACCTCTAAAACAACCGTTCGTCCTCGAACGGACAAAAGAAAGAAGTACCTGAGTCGGGAAATAGATGAGGATAACGGCTCCGCATATCAGACTCGGACTCCCAGGTCGATGCCTCAGGAGGCTGACC